CACACACACACACACACACACACACACACACACACACACACATTTACACTTTCACAAGTGAGCGTTAGAAAGGAGGAACAGGACAAAAGGATTAGCAGGAAGAGATTAGAGGGAAGGTTTCCACATCGCTCTCATTCCTCTGCTTGTACAGAAATTCATTTTAAAAAGTGCTTCAAATTTCATCTTCATTTGAGACAAATCTATACTGGCTAATGGGTCCGAAATTTGTTGCTTTCTTCACCTCACATGTGACTGTCTTTCTTCTTTCTAGCTTTCTTCTTTTCCTTCTGTTTGATTTTTTCCTTCCTGTTTTTCCTTCCTGTTTTTCCTTCCTGTTTTTCCTTCCTGTCGTCTAACTTAAAAGCTCACTGCTCTTCCTGTTTTTGGATCAGGCAGCAGGTAACACAACCATTACATTGTAAACACACAGAGAGGGAGGTGGGGCTGCAGAGACATTAGCCTCACTGCAGGTACCTCAGGTTGCATTAGCATTAACAGCAGTGGCCCACAGTCAGCTGACATTTGCACTTCAGTTCTGTTTGTTTTCTGTTCCCATGTTTTTTCATTCATATTCGTATCTGCTGCTTATTGATCACCAATCTGATCAACGTATAGCCTCAAAAGATTTAAAGTAAATATTTTTTTTAATTCAATTACACTCCAACATATTTTATTGAAATTGTTCTAAATGCTGAATGAAGTTGTCTTTCATTCTTTTTAAAAATTATTTTATGGTTTTCTGAATTGTTCTTTTTCTTTTGGCTGTTCTCTTTAGGGGTCGCCGTAGCAGATCATCTGCCACCGTCTCATCCTAACCCTACTCTCGTCTGTCACACCATTCACTACAGCCATGAATCTCAATAGCTCTCAATCAACACTCTCAGCAACAACTGCATCTGCAGTGCTCTTTCTCAGTATGAAGCCGTACTGTCATCACTGCCTCCTCTGCACTTTCTGCTTCACTAACTTTTCTCCTTCTCTCCAGGAGATACTAAAATGTAGAGGAGAACATTCATCACATGGCTAAATAAAACCTCACCTGACTCCTGCCACTGTGATTTGTCACATGGAAGCATCACACATCACCATTTTCACAAGCATGCGAAAGGTGAAAAGGGTGAGAGCAAAAGACTGGATCACCTGAACTCAGCAGGTGACGCTGATGAATAAAAGGTTTATCACAGACACACAGAACAGATCTCTATCTTTAGTCGCAGGTCCGTAAAAGGAGGAGAAAATGATTATTAGGAGAAAAACATTCCTGCAGTGTTCTTGCTGTAAATGCATTTGCCTCACGGCAGGTGGCTGGGGTTGTATTAGCACTAGCATCAGTGTCCCACTGCTATCTGACTAAATGACAATTGCACTGTAGTTCTGTTTGCTTGTGTTCCCAGTTTCTTCTCCCCCTCACTGACCAGTCTTTCCAGTAACATTTAGTGTAATAACTCGTGTGACCTCTGGGATGAATCAGAGATCATATTTTACTGCTTTAAAGGTCGTAAAGCATGTTTTTTATTGTAAGTAGAGATATATGTGGTATTTCTTTAACTCTTTGAATCTGTTTTTCTTGAATTATTTTGCCTGCTGCTGTGTTGATATTTAAATTCTTTTCAGAATTTAAAAATAAAATTAATTAGTGTACATTAATGTAAACAACAGATTTAGCTGTTTGCAGCAGTATACAGTCCTATTAGTGATGGGCTCTGATTAGAGAGAAAGTCAACATGAAAAAAAGATTCATTCTTGCAAAATAATTAATTCTGTCTCAATTAATAATTATCACCAGACTCCGCCCCCTCACTCACATGGGTTCTCTGCTGTGATTTCTCACTTGGAAGGAGGAAACAACTCACAGCATTGTTACGATGGTCAGAGAGAAGCAGGGAACACCGAGGATCACCTGAACTTTGACCCTCCTTCATTCACAGTGGAGCAGCAGGAGTCCAGCTCAGACTCCACATGAATCCAGTTAAATTAGAAAGAGTCCAATAATCATCTCACCCTTTGATCAAAACTCTAAAGAGTTCAACCGGGCTGACCATACAATCTGAAATGACCACAGAACTTTAATAAAGTAACAACACGGTTTTTTGATCAGCAACTTGTGTGATTACTGACTTTAGTACAGTTGCAGAAAGTTAGGTAATTACAGTAATGGATTACTTTATACTATTACAGCAGTACTGAATGCACAAACAACTTTTGCATTTGCTAATAACTAAATTTCGCAGGCTTTGTGCTGCGGTGCTTATTCTGGAATTTGAGTCTTCTGATGCACTTGTGTCATTTGCTGACGGCTCAGGGCTGTAATGCATGTGTAAAAATGTCTTTATATTTTTGTCTACAGTGTCTCTGATCCACGCAGACTAATTTTGTTCATTTTGGCCTTATGATTATAGAGATGTGACTGACTCAAATTGTCTGTTTGCTCATGGAAAGAGTGGACTGTTGTGCAAAACCAGATATAAATAAAAGCCTGACATGCTGTTTAAGAAACCTTATCCAGTGAATACAGTTATTTTTATTGCAACACATAAATATTAACTGTCTTTATTTAGACAGTTGTCCTTTTAATTACAGTGACAGCAACTTAGATAAAGCACCGGGTGTATTTGCAGTAGTTGCCTGCATGTCTGCTTTTTAGCTAATTTTTCTACGAGAGTCAGACAGAAACTAGTGAGTCACACTTTCTTCACAGAGATGATGTAGTCTGATTCTGCGCATTAACACAGATTAAAAAAAATCACAAACTAGCATTCCTGATAAAAATGCTCTTTAAAAGTGTCGCCTGGGTTTTGGTGCTGCTGAAGGAGCAGTTTGTCTGCGCTGTGATAACAAAGTCTGTTCTCAGTGGGCGCTTGGCAAATGGTCTCATTTGCATATTGTTCACAAAGAGCTGGAGGCTTCAGGCTGGACGTGGAGGGAAACTGTTTCTGCTCTCAGGGGTTTGTCCCTTCAGCTGAGTTTTGCATAATGAAACAGAAACTGATACTACGAATGTTTATGCTGCTGGTATAAACTGACGTGAGCTCTTGACGGACTCAGAGTCTGCTATGGGAAAAAGTCATTCATGCACACATTTACAGTCATTACAGACTGCTGCCCATTTCAAAGGAGTTTAGAAATTAGACTGTATCATTGCATCTGAAACCTTCTGCAGAAAGCACCTGTCCTGTCTTATTGATAATGGTCATCTTTTTTTTATAAATGATTCTTAATAAATACTATTGCTTAATAAATTCCTTCAAAAATATACACTTATGAGCAAATAAACTACAAAGTACAGGAACACTTGCAATTAAACTCAATCAGCTAGTGAACATAACCATTTAGCTGTAGTCATAACTGCAACTCCAGCTAATGAAACTACAGAAACACCTGCAACTAAAGAGAAACTTCTGCAAACTCAATATTCATCAATTTGCAGTTAAACACAGCAACTAGAGCAACTAAACCAGTTGCTCCAATTACAGCAGCTGGACCAACAAGTAAATTAACAACTTGCAACTAAATGCTGCAACTACACCAAACGCTTTACCTACAACAGCGCGGAACGACACACCACAACTATTGCCACTAAGGCAACAACTAAAGCAACTTTGTTCACTGAAAGTTCTCTGAGACAAATGCAAACAAGTGTTCTTGGTTTTTATTTTATTTTATTTTACTTGCTGGTGTGTAATATCCCTTCAGACTCAGAGGTGCATGTTCATTGCATGCACCAGCTTCATTAGACTTTTCCAGACCCTGGTCTGGACCTGCGTGGTTCCAGTCATTCAGAGGGTTAGTGCAGGTCTCCACTCGGAATCCCTCCACTTTGTGGTCTGGAGGAGAAACGCGTTGCCACATGAGGGAGGGAACATTTGGTTTGAGATCAAAGTGTGGTTTGGGTGGGTGGGGTTAGAGTGGCGGTGGGCAAATGGAAGTTACCTCAGCACATGGCCTGTAATTGTGGGCTGGTGGATTCAGAGAAATGAGGCTGCGTGATGGTGTTTGGATGAAGCCACTGATGAGCTCTGGTTGAAGAAAGAGAAAAAACTTTGAGCTGCCCTTTAATTGGAAGTTTCTTTTTGTTAAACGCAAAAACTTTATTTAAAAGAATAAGAACTTTTCAGAGCATTGTGAAGAAACACAGTAAATGCAAGGAGAGGACAGTACGAAAGATTTAACTCAAGCAAGTTGAGCTAAACTCTCCATGTAAAGTCTGTTTTTTGAATGTGATTTGTATGTTATACAGATGAGGGTTGTAGATGGAACAGTTAGGTGATACTAAATAGAAACATAAATGAGTTGATCAAAACAAGCTGTGGCCTTTTGCGTTATTCTCTTTTGCAGATGTTTGTTTTCATCTGTGTGGAAAGTGTGGTTGGCTCCTTTGAGGGAGGGTTTTCCTCTCTGCAGCTCAAAATATCTCAACTATAAATAGATTCTCTGGACACCGCCAGTTATTTTTATCCCAACTGAGGCTAAATTTACCGAGCCAGGCGTCGCCCCACCCGTCCCGCCACAGAATAACCCCCAACCCCTCCCTTTTCCTTTCCTTCTCAATTCTCCACTGTGGTCAAACCAGAGAGCTGAGGTCACAGTCTGAGTGAGGCTGAAAGGGAGCTCTGAAAAAGAAATGGGTCAAACAGAAGCGCACATCTAAAAGTGTCTAAACTCAAATCCAAGAAGGCAAAAATGAAGTATTAATAAAAGTAAATGAGCTTGCTGAATGTGTTTTCCCTTCTTCCCCCTATTAAATGCATAAAATGCATTTTACTCTTTGAGTCTGATCAAAGTTCACTTTATTTGAAGTTGCTTATTGTAAATATGCAGTGTTATCTCACACCCTGTGGCATCTTGTTAGTTTTTGGAGCCCAAAGAGATTGAATTTGGACCACAGGATGAAATGCTGAGGACAGTTTGGTTAGGAAGCTGCATTCATAAACTGCATGGGTGCATCACATAGACACATACACCTTCTAACTTGCTACTAGAATTTCACAGTACAAAGCAAGCTATATTATCTGTCACAAAATTGCAAGAAATGTTCAAAAAGGCAATGACATCACACACTCAGTCAAGAGATGCAGTTCAGTGAGCTGAATCACCCGAGGTGAAGCCTAACAGACAGCTCTGGGTACAGCTGGCACGCTTCTAATGATGCAAAATTCAGTTTGAGCAGGTTAGAGGTAACATTTTGTTTGTTTGTTTTCATTTGATTTGTTTTTTAGAGTTATCCAGGCTGTTATAATATATGAAATTATCCACAGAAACTAATATTGTATTTGTGCAGAATGTAAATATGTTTATGTCTGCTGTAAGGTTAGGCAACTTAACATGGGAGACTGCGGGGATAAGCTTACTTTTGCAGCCTGCCTCAAGTGGCTACTAGAGGACCTGCAGCTTGTGTCTTAGCTTAATTTTGTTGCTACTCAGTCCTAATGCAGGATCCTGTTTTTATTACTTACAACCAGAGATTACAGTAACGCGTTACTGTAATCTGATTACTTTTTTCAAGTAACGAGTAAAGTAAGGGATTACTATTGCAAAAACGCTAATTAAATTACTGTTACTTTCCCGTAGGAACGCTGCGTTACTGCGTTACTAAAACCGTGATTTTTTTGCGAGAATGTCTCATGACAGTGACGTAAGCGAGTGTGACGTTCGTGACAACAGCTGTGTGCAGATCAACTATGAGCGTGCAGCGTTTAAAGCGTGGAAGTACTGGCCTTACTTTGAGTTTGATTCCATAAAAAGTGACAAAAACATTAGTGTCCGCTGTGCGTGGGAAGAAAACGTCTTTTTACAGAGAAAAAACCCCTAAACTTCCAACAAGCACCGAGTAGCTACGACGTAATGGGAAACTCACAGAGAAACTCGCGGATTCTTCCACTGACCGCGGCACACCTGCACCAGGGTAACCCTCCGCCTGCCCCACTCCTGCTTTACAGGTGAAAATAGAGCAACAGGACCGCTGAGTCTTTGACTTTATTTATTTTCTGTGTTTTACTTGCATCTATTTGAAAGACTGAGTGTAAACACAAAAATATTTTATTTTATGTGCTGGAATGTGCAGAAAATAGGTTTAAATGTTAAACTAATTTCTTCCAGTCAGTTACTTTTTTCCAAGTAACTTGACCAACACTGCTTACAACTGAGCTGACATACCTGCAGCTCTGCAAGTCTGAGTATCACTATAAAAAGTAACAAAGTCCAGCAAAGGTTACTTTCTGATTAGCTCCTTCTGTCACTTCAGTTTCAAGCAACGCTGAAACATTAGCTGTGTAAAGCTGCAGATATATATTCTCTCAGTTCATCCACGGTTGAAATGAATATCTGATCTACATTAATATATTCAGTGGTTTCTGAAAGATCAATATGACCCTGACTTTAAATACCACAAAATACAAATATTTCACTGGAAGTCATCTGTTTTTCAGCTGCATTCATCTGTGTCATGAGTGGGTTGAATGGAATTAAGAGCCAAAAGATAAAGTTGCAACTTACAACTGGAAACTGATAAAAAGTTACAAACAGGAAAGATTTCAGTAAGGGATGATAAAGAAAGTCAACTTCTGGTTTTGCTGCCAGTAAATCCCCCCACAGACACACACGCCCCCTGAACACATGCATGTACGTCTGTTCTTGTGAGAACCCTCCTTTGCATAATGCAAATTCTCATAACTGTTATCCTGATTCTAACCTGAACCTTAAAGATGAATCTTACCTCTTAAACAGCTATATAAAGATCCTATGGCGACGAGCTACAAGGTCTAAAACACACACCGGTCCTCGTACAGACAGCTGTTAACACACACACACATGCAGGAAGTGGTGTCATTTCTGGTTTGTGTTGTTCAGAACACAGGGTGATGAACTCAGTAGATCACAAACATCCATATAATCATTAACTCACACAATCAGCCCTGAACTTTATTTACAACTACCCAGGAAACAAAATGACACAAGAGTCTGTAACCTGCAGGGGGGGCAGGGGGGGTCAACATCTTCTGCCATTTTTTTAAAACCAACACATCCAACAGCAACAGAGCTGAAAAACAGAAGGCAATGATCTGCAAATCTTAGAAGCCCAGCAGTCATAGCAAATGTTCAAATTGAGATGTTGCAGTATTCCACAGGGAAGCTTGTGCACTAGATGTTCTTGAATTTTAGCAACATGGGTTTCCAGCCTTTTGTTGCTCCCATCCACTTTTAAAAAATAAGTGTCAATAAAAAGAAACAGACTGAAGATTTTTCAACTAATCAAGTTAATTTGCAGCAGGTCAATAATATGACAGAAGACCATCTTAGAGAGGTAGTGTTTCTCAGACATAGAGATGGGCCGAGGTTCAGCTGCAAATTGAGGAAAAATATCAGAATAATGTTCATCTGCGTAAAAATTGTGAAGACGAGGGAAAGCGGGTTGTTAAAAAACCTCCTTGTGATTGCTTTGGTCATTAGCCTATTGCCATGCTCGTAGTTTGGATACAGGTGACAGACTTGTCTACAAACATGGAAACAATGGAACTATGAAAAATGTGACACAAACGGAGAGCCTCAAAGTAAAAGTTGCACCTTTTGAACAGTGATAGTGCTGAGGCACAGCTTTTGCTCTGAAGGAGAACCTTCTCCATTTCCAGTTTGCAGTCATACTTTTTCAGTATGTACCATCCTCAGCCAGTAGTTATCAGGTATTTGCAGACAAACATGAAGCATAAAGGCAATCGTGACAACGTGCTAGCAAACAAAGATATTGTTAGGAGAGATTTAGTACAGCACCTTCCTTGCAAGCACTTTGACTCAGTAAGAACCAGGAACCTTCAGGCACTACTGCATGTTGGGAAATATACATTTTTCCCCAGCAGATGATGATTGTATCATATTCAATATGGAAGGAAACTCTTATGTGTTTTTATTTTAGTTGAATATGTTTAATTTTAACATTAAAGTCTGTGGGAATTGGTTAATTTTTAAGCTAGCCTCAAGTGGCCATAAGAGGAACTGCAAGTAACAGCACATAAGTGTTGGCTTCATTTGTCATGTCTGAAGGCTGACTTACACCCAGTGGTCAGGTGGGGCCTTTCTGTATAGTCTGCCTAACATAAATCTTAGTTCTGTTTAATGTGAAGCACACTGACTTCACAAGTAAATACAAATCCAACATAAATATCATTTCCAATTTATAAACAAAGCCCAAATTCCCTTTGAGTCAAATTCATTGAAGGGTCCTGAGTTCAGATCCTGCTTGTGTGTTTGGATGCAGCGTCACAGCACCTCGAGTTCAGGACCTGCAGCACTGCTGAGGTCAGAGGTCTCTCTCTGCTAATCAGCGTCTGCAGCGTCCTGCCACATCAGACTACACGTGCGGCGTGATGACATCACGTGGGGGGGGGGGGTCAGGGGGTGAACAGTGAAGGTTAGCTGACAGACAAATACGTTGTTTTTAACAACCTGTTTTCATACAGCACATACGAGAAGTGCCATTGGTTCCTGGTTTGTTTTAGGTGTAACTCATGAAACAATTAAAACAATAAAAAAAAACACAAATGTAATAAAGTAAATTTAGATTTTAATGCAAACAGAAAGCATACATCGATAGAGCAGGAATAGAAAAAGATAAAAGTCAACATCAAACGAAAACATGTGAAGCTACATTCCTGAAATTCCTCAGCGGTTTGAGTGCTGCGAATTCCTGTCTGTGAAATGACAAAATAAAGCCGAAATACCTCAGGGACAACAGATTCAATGATTTGCTTCTCTCTTCATGACAGGCGGCTTCTGACATGCACAAAGGTTGTGACACAGAAACAAAAGTCTGTGTTCAGGATCCAAAAGACAACAAACACGCTGACCCATTTCCAAACCACAGAGCGATAAAGACTTTTCTTTGTGCCGTCATCCTGAGATGTTTTTCATGTGGAGGAAAACAAAGATGAGGAGCAAATGGGTGAAATCACTGATTCACCACTCAAACGCAGGCAGAGCTCTCTGTCACAGTACAGCGTGCTTCATCGGCCAAACAGCTGCTGATGAGAGCTGAGTGGAACAATCAACCACAGATGCCTCCTCCCATAGCAGGTCTCACTGGGGATGTTGTGGCTGCTGATCCTAGTATATTTGAGCTGGTGTAAGGCCCACAAATATGTTCCAAAAGAAGAAAGAGTGACTTTAAGAGCTGAAGCAAGCAAATTCAGTGGACGGGGGTAAGTAGGTGCAACAAAATGAAAAGGTTGCAGAATAAATCCTCACTGATTAGCCAATAACTGTGTAACAGATAAGAAACGTTCTCATCCCAGGTCATCAGTCACTGCTGTTCTGTCAGATAACTGCTGGTTATCATATTATGTTATACTGGACTACATAATAAATCGTCAGCCAGCTGATTGCAGTTTATGTCATACTTGGTAACATTTTTTACACTTACTAAAACAACTTGGTTAGTTTTAGAAAAGAGTTTAAACCTTGTCCATTATTGACCAATGCCACATGACATCTTGTGCATCTGACAGTGTTGACAAAAAGAACAGGCTGCAACATATTATTGAAAAGGCCTGCAGAACACAGAGCTGGTGTCTTTATACTAAATAATGAATTTCAAGGTAGAGATCAAGAAGTCAGTTTGATAACAGACTGTCTGTGCATGCTGGATGGCTATGACAGACATCCAAACCTGGACTTCAGTCAAATTTGCATCCTTTACTATAGTAAAAGGTTAAATTAATAATGTTAAGATGTATTTTTAGTGTTTAATTCAATGTCAGTGAGCCAGTAATTGCAGCTTTTTTGCTGCCTTTCTCTCAGTTCTTAGATGCTTGTGTGTTTTGTGATGCTGGAGCGATCTCTATCTCTCATACACTCATCACCCCTCTCCTCCTCTCTCTGACTCATCGCTCTGATGCTCTCCTCTGCTCCTGAACCAACCTTACATGGTCAATGACGTGGTGGCAGGATCTCCCTACGTAACACACCAACGTGCCATTCAGCACAGCTTCGGCACCTTATCTAATATAGAGACCGCCGCCTGCCCAGCCGTCCAATCAGTGCACTCCATCTGTTTCCAGGGTGACGTGATGTAGAGAGTAGGGAGCTTCCTCACCGTTTGTGAACAGAAATAGCTGCTAGAGTGACACACTGAGCTTCTTTTTAAGTCTTCTAAAAATAACGGCGCTATTCTTGAGCTTTGGTGATCTGATGAGCAGGTCAACGCCACCAACGCCATCAGGAGCGCACATATCAAACGCTGCACAAGGGGGACGTGGGAATGCTGAACGTAAATGGCACAAATAGTACATCAAGCTTTCATAGGAAGCAACAGAATTTTCTAGATTCAAGGTAAAAACAAAAAACTGGGACAACTTCAGTTTTGTGTTTACATTCTTTTGCTTATGATGGCACGCTTGCATGAATGAATGGAGAGCATTATATAATCTAGTGTATGTCTGAGACAAGAAGGCAAAGTTTGATCTATAATTGTTTAATCTGTGATCGTCATAACAGGCTGACAGAAATATTGTGTAATGGAAATCAAAACAAACATTTCCTGTTTTATTCTTGTTTCACTTCATTCTGTTCTGCTTGCTGACGTTGGCCCGTTTCCATCGTGTCCTCTTTGACCTGATGTTGTGATGTGTGAGTGAGATGTGGAGTCACACTTGGAGTTGTAAGAGAGTCAAGTATTATATTTACAAAAACCTCACATATGTTACAACACTGGTACAAAAAGAAAATATGCAACACTTTTCAAAACTGTGGACATTTTTAAAGCCATTTCAATGTGTTTATTACTGTAAAATGTCCTGAAATAATCACATATCAATTATTTCAGGACATTTTGCTTGTTTTTAGGGTTTTGCCTTTATGCCTGGTGTTCTGCCAGTCTGACTGCCTCCATGCATATATGCACAGCCTTGGACTGAAAGATTTGGATTCGATATAGTGTCATCAGATAAGCACAGTTGTGGAGGAGTCGGAAGTCTCGACATGTTGATACTGCAGTCAAACTGGATTACTGCACTGAAGGTATTTCATTGTGTCCTTGCTGTGAGGTATTTACACTCCCAGTTTCTTTTACTTAATGCACACACGCACAGGGATATCGTTGTGGGTGTGTAAAATGATTAATGCAGGCGGATGCATTTCTTATTCACATCAGGGACACAGTGACCTCTGTGCTGCCACCACTGACACCTCTGGATCAGATCGGTTTGCCTGCTTCAGGGCGTGAGCTCCTCATGTGTAACCCACTGCAACTGCACTTGCTTAATGTTAATGTTTACACAGTGCTGCTTTCATAACCGAGGATGACATGGCAGGCACCTGTAAAAATAATTGTGAATAAAACAAATTATTACATCTTCATACAAACATCTTAACTTTCAGCATGAATAAGTTCAAGTCTTGTCCAAATTGTCCTCAATTAAGCTGCACTTGCAGAAAATTATTCTAGCTGCTGAAAATAAAATTCACTGATTAAACTTCTTGGATATTCTTCTTGGTGTTTGGGTCACCACAACACAGTGGAGTTGTTAAGATCAGTGACTCAGCAGACAGGTAGGTGCTTTAACTGCATCTGTCAGCCTCACCTGAATGAAATCACTCCTGTACCACGGTTTTATGAAGGGGGAAACTATCCATGTTTATTTCTAATGTTGATTTGAAGATTTTAACTTGGTAATCTATGAGGATTGACTCATTTTGACTCTCTCAAATTATATGATTAGAGGGTTGAAATTTATTGGAAGCATAGTTTCAGTAAAAGGTCTGCAAACGAGTGTGAGTGAAAGCTGGACAGCACAGAGCAGATGCTTAACGTCAAGAGAAACTAAAACTT